GACGACCCTCACAGGCGAGCGCAGGGACCAAGGCCACTCCACGAGAACAGGCCTAGCCGCGCGCGAACGCAGCAGGCTACGCCGTCCGCTGCACTCATCATGGGCGAGGCGTCTCGCCCGCCGATTGCACACCACATTGCCTGGCAGCTCACAGCCTCCTCGCTCTTGTTGGACACGCTGCGCACAAAGCGAGCAAGACGCGCATGGCCGTGGCGGGGAGAAGACGTTCAATTGGCGGAGCATCATCCGCAGAACGAGCAGGCACAGCACCAGCAGCTTCGTAGACCTTGCCTGTTGTTGATGTCCTCTGAAGCCCCATCCCTGAGCCGTTAGCCATCGACGGCAACTGCTTGAGGATCCGCATGAGGTGCCGCACAGATGGCAGGCTCTGCTGCAATTTCGTGTTCATCAGCATGACGCTGAACGACGGGATGCCGAGAGGCAGGACGCTGAGCGCTAGAACGTTGGCGGTCATCGTGAGCCGGAGGAGCTCCACGATCACAAGCGTCATGAAGAGATTGGCAGAGTTCTGCGCCGATCAGGCAGGCACGGCTGCCTCGATGGCCTCCAGGCTGGAGAACGCCTGAACCAATGCCTGAGCGGCACGTGCCTGGGGCTTGCGGTGCGCGCGACGCTCCACCGCTGTACGACGTAGGCGCTGTGGCCGTCCTTCCGCAGGCGCCATGGCGGCAGCGTCAGGCCGCCCAGACAGAAGAGACGCGTGAGGGGAAGCAGGAGGAGGGATGGAGGGAGGGAGGGAGGGAGGGAGGGAGGGAGGGAGGGAGGGAGGAGGAGGAGGAGGAGCATAAGGAGGAGGAGGAGGGAGGATGAGAGAGGAGGATGAAAGGGGATGATGATGATGATGATGAGGAGGAGCAGGAAAGAGGATGATGAGGATGAACAGGAGGATGAGGATGAGGATGATGATGATGATGATGATGATGATTATGATGAGGAGGAGGATAAGGATGATGTTGAGGATGATGATGCTGATGATGATGATAACGACACTGATGCTGCTGCTGATGATGCTGCTGATGATGCTGATGACGATGATGATGCTGGTGGTGGTGATGATGATGCTAATGCTGATGACGATGGTGGTGATGATGATGCTGATGCTGATGGTGATGGTGATGATGATGATGATGATGACGATGACGATGATGATGATCATGCTGATGATGCTGCTGATGATGATGATAGATATGATAATGCATCTGATGATGACGATGATGATGGTGATGCTGTTGATTCTGATGATTACGATGGTGCTGATGATGACGATGATGATGATGCTGCTGATGATGATGCTGCTGATGATGATAACGATGATGATGACGATGATACTGATACATATGCTGATGATGATGCTGATGATACTGATGATGCCTGATGATGTGATGCTGGATTCTGATGATGATGATGAGGCTGATGATGATGATGATGATGATGATGATGATGATGATGATGGTGATGATGATGATGATTGATGATGATGATGATGATGATGATGATGATGATGATGATGATGATGATGATGATGATGATGATGATGATGATAATGATGATGATGATGATGATGATGATGATGATGATGATGATGATGATGATTATGCTGAGGATGCTGAGGGTCATGAGGATGATGAGGATGATGCTGATGATGAGGATGACGACGACGAGATCGGGAGCCCCAGTCGGATCTGTGGGCCAGGCCAGGCGTTTCGCTAGAGGCTTCCTTAACATTTGTTATCGGGAAGTTGAAACAACTCCGACAGTTACAGGGATCGATGGCCGGTGGTTTCCATCCAAAATGCGGCTCTCGCCTTGGCGGCACATTCATTTTACAAGTTTCCAGCAGTTGCAGGAATGGAGGGCTGGTCGTTTCCAAAATGTGGCTCTCGAGTTAGCCTCGCGCGCAACAGTTGAACAGATGGAGGGCCAGTTGTTCTCAAAATGCTGCTCTCGGCTAGGATTTCTTCCAACTTTCTGAGTTCCAAGTTGTCCAAACGTTGCACGCATGGAGGCTCCTTTGGAAATGGGCCTCTCGCTTGAGATCCCCGCAACTTTGATGACCAGAGTGCTGAAGTCGTGCACCAATTTGCATGGATGGAGGGCAGATCGTTTTTTTTTTTTCCTCGAAAATGGGGCTAGAGGTCCCTTCCCGCAGCGGAAAGGAATCTTTGCAGGGATTTCTGAGTTGGGGGTTTTGGACGGGTTGGAGTTGGTTTCAAGGGTTATTGTGGTCCTCTTCATCCTCCCCGTTCCCCTTCTTCTTCTCCTTGTCCTTCTTCTCCTTCTCCTTCTGCTTCTGGTCTCCCTCATGCTCCTGCTCCTCCTCTCCCTCTCCCCGCCTTCTCTTCCTCTGCCGACTTTTTCGCCCTCCTCCTTCTCCTGCTCCTCTCTCCGCCTCTGATCTCTTCTCCCTTTCCTCGCCCTACTCCCTCCTCCCTCGCTCTTCCTCTTCCTCCCCCTCTCCTCCCTCCCAGTCCCCCGACCGCTGCCGCGTGCTGGCCCTGAGGTGCGCCCCCGGAACAGGAGGGATGGAGGAAGGACGAGGAAGAGGAGGAGGGAGGAGGACGAGGACGAGGACGAGGACCAGGACGAGGACGAGGACGATGATGACGACGATAATGACAATGACGACCACGACCATGAACACGAGGAGGGGGAGGAGGAGGAGGAGGATGATTACAATGATGATGGTGATGCTTGTGGTGATGATGATGGTGACGGTGACGATGATGCTGCTGATGATGATTACGATGATGATGCTCATGGTGATGATGCTGGTGATGGTCATGATGATGCTGATGATGATGCTGATGCTGATGATGACGATGTTGATGCTGATGACGAACCTGCTGATGATGTTGATGATAAGGATCATGGTGCTGCAGATGGTGCTGAGGTTGAAGACGATAATGACAATCGGGATGAAGCCGACGACGATGATGCTTACGATGTGATGATGACGACGATGGTGATGCTGTTTTTTTGACGATTGCAATGAAACTGATGATGATGTTGATGCGTACGATGTTGCTACTGATGGTGCTAGTGATGTTGCTGCTGCTGATGATGATTATGATGATGCTGCTGCTGCTGCTGATGATGATGATGATGATGCTGTCGTTGGTGATGATGATGCTGATGATGATGATGCTGATGATGATGCTGCTCATGATGATGATGCTGATCACGATGGCATCCATAATCAGCCGGGAGATTGCGTTTGGGCGATTCGGAGGCTCGGAGGCATCGCATTCGAATCCTCCGAGGGGAGGGGGAACCCTAATAGCGCCAGATGGCGCAATGGCCGAACCGAAGTTCCCTCTTGGTTTCCGCATCCTCCCACATGCAGGGGAGGAACAACCGAACGCGTGCGTGTAAGGAGGAGGAAGAGGCAACGGAGGAGGAGGGAGGATGCGGAGCCCCCCCCCTAACTTAGAGGGTAGGGCGGTCGGCTTCTTCACGGCTCCCCATCTGCAGAGACATATGGCACACGACGTCAAGCTTGCGCTGGCATTGCTTCTGTGCGTTCCATCCCCCCGTCGAGGCCCTGTCATATCTGAATCTCCCTGTGCGCCAGGGACGACACTCCAGCTACGGTTTGAGTTCGATCAGACGCGGTGGGCCCACTTGTACTCCTCTTGGTTTCTGGTGAACCGTGTGGCAGATCAGATGGGGTCGATCCATGGCCCATGTAGTAGGAGACGAACAGGTGATGTGGATAAGGAGTAGGACTATACATATATCTGTAGGTTGAGGAGGGCGAGAGAGAGAGAGAGAGAGAGACAGAGAGAGAGAAAGCGCGAACGAACGAGAGAGATATAAAGCGATAGCGAGCGATACATAGAGATAGAGAGAGAGAGACGGGCAATCATACATAACTGTACACATATA